GTTACTCCCGCGGGTGGCTATATTCCCGCTGGAAAATGGTGGCCTGGGAGCCACGGGGGCTTATGCAGCCAAAGAAGGTGAACGAAGCGGGAGCGACACTCAATTCCCACCGGTCAGACTTCAGTATTAAGTAAATCAGCTGTAGAAAATTGCAAATACGGGAAATACGGGGTCAAATCTGGAGGCGTGTTACCCCGAAGCGAAAGCCAGGGTTGGCAATAACAGCCAGCTCACTCGTGCAGATTTAGGAAAATTCTCATGTTGGGAGTGGAGGGAGGTCTGTATCCAGTTTGCTCAGAAGGGAGGGGGCTATCATGAGCCCACGGGCCGGCCTGGCTCCAAGGTGCCGACACAGCCAGTATTGTCACTGCGTTGGGCAAAATGCCTCTGTGCAGCCTGACAGAGTTGTTGACATTGCACTTCAGCCGAATTGTCAACCAAAGGCTTTTTATGTGGGATGTGGTCCCTAGTGCCGGTGTGCTGGTATTGCTGACATCCCAGGAAAACGGTTACAGGATGCTCTCAGTGTTGCGTTATGACTGGGTCTTAGTGCAGTACGTACTCGGTCTGCTCATTGCTGAAGATGGGTAAAACCAAGTCGAAGTTGATAGACACAGCCTCAATGTATCATTGTGGAAAGTCACATAACTCCATTGGAAGAGGAAACTAAAATATGGCATCAAACTTAAAACATGTTTATACATTTGGCTGCTTCAGGCCAAGGTAGGGAGGAATATGGCTGAAGTCCAATGAGGAATGTAGAAAGGTCTTTAGGTAGGGCATGTTGTGAAAGACCAGCACAAGCAGAACAAGCACCAGAGGGAAGACTTGTGAATCCCTTCTGTGCTTATGGCAATATAGTTTTATATATTTTTGTAAATAAACAGAAATGTATTGAAGGTATCTGACAGAATCACCGCATTACCTTCCTCAGTAGAATAATCTACAAGATTCACAATTTTAGGAAGAAAGCTGCAATAATCAATATTTAACACTACCCCCCCCCAAGCTACAGTAAATAGAAATTTAAAATATTCAGAGACAAAAAATCTTCATGTGCAACGAGAGAATACAGCGTACAGCACTGTGTGTTCATGCAACAGTTCTGTGTGCACTGCCACGCTTGCAGAACTCGGTCTCCTTCTGTTCAACAAATGAGAATCCACAGAGAAGGAGGCAGCACCCACCACAAAAGAGATCACACTCTTCATGCACCTACACACTAAAAAAAAATTCTCTTCAGCTCACACGGAAACCAATGCTGCAACTACAGAGAGTTCATGAACATTTTTTTCAGGTAATAAATCAGTGAGCAAGATTTTAAGCCACTAAATCAAGTGAAAATCATCCCCTTTTCTACTAGAGCAACCAGAAGCATAAGTGTGCCATCTATCTCCCCTAAACTTCATGTTGCAATTGCTTTCTTAGAGCAAGCCAATATTTTTCCAAAAAGTGTGAGACATATATACAAAAAAGCTGGACTACTCCTATTCCTTTTTTTTTAATCAAGCAATCAACATTTAGTTGATGGAATACATACCTGCATAGCAACAATTAAGCAAATAATCTAAGCAGACAAGACTAATCAGGCCCACTCACTAAAACCCAGGAATTGCCAACAACAGAAGACTATAAACAAACTCTTATCTACGAAATTGTCAGCAAGCGAGCAGGCCAGCAGTAAAACCAGTAAGCTGAACCTAAAAAGCAGGTTGAATCGGGACAATGAGTCATCTTGAAATGCTAGTTTCGATATTTGTGAAAGAAACTATTTTACCAGCACTCCTACTACAAAATAGCACTTGTGTAAAGGCTATCGTTTACACTCAGTTTCCAGCAGAGAGCTGGGAATATTGACCTGACTGTATATATATCTTACTGCAGTATCAATTTCTGTAGAGTCATTTTACAGTCAAATATGAGGCATCAGCCTTCTCCATATTGGTCTGTAACTGGAAAGTTCTCTTACAAGACTCTGCTGCCTCAGACAACTGTCTGGTACAGGAACACGCGCTGAGCTACAGTGTGTTCCAAAATAATGACGCTGTGCTAAGAGACAGGTTTCTTTGCTTTTTTATGCCAAAGCAAAAGTGCTAGTTTTGTCAGTGGATGACAAGGCTGCAGATCCAAACTAAAAAGACTCGTGGAATCACTCTGTTCAAAAACAAAATAAAAAGAAAATGCAATGCATTATAAAATCCTGTGTATCCAGGACTGAAAGGTAATTCTGGAGATGGAAAAAAACGCTACAGCTTCACCTGAGAAAGCTCTCTGATATCCCATGTCATCTATACAGGCTATGGGCTTGGCTGCCTGATCTATAAAACTGTGGGTCACAACACCCATGAAATTTCACAGTGTTACATCATAACTGAGATTGGAAGGGAGCTCTGGAGATCCTCTAGTCCAGACTTCTGCTCAGAGCAGGCTTGGGTCCAGTTGGGTTTTGAGTATCTCCAAGGCTGGAGACTCCACAGCCTCTCTGGGCAACCTGTTCCAATGCTCGACCATCCTCACAGTAAAAAGTTCTTCTCGTAAGTTAAATGGAACTTCCCGTATTTCAGTTTGTGCCCATTGCCTCTCATCTGTTCACTGAATAGCACTGAGAAGAGTCTGGCTTCATCTTTACTC